ACCGAAGCCTCCTGGAGCCCTCTTGTAGAGGTGAAACCGAAGCCTCCTGGAGCCCTTTGGTAGAGGTGAAACCGAAGCCTCCTGAGCCCTTCTTGTTAGAGGTGAAACCGAAGCCTTGGAGCCCCTTGTAGAGGATGAACGGAAGGCCTCTGGAGCCTCTTGTCGAGGTTGGAAACGGAAGCCCCTGGAGCCCTCTTGTTAGAGGGAAACGAAGGCTCCCGGAGCCTCTTGTAGAGGTGAAACGAAGCCTCCTGGGCCCTCTTGTAGAGGTGAAACGGAAGCTCCTGGAGCCTCTTGTAGAGGTGAACGGAAAGCCACATGGAGCATCTGGTAGAGGGAAACCGAAGCCTCCTGGAGCCTCTGTAGAGGTGAAACGGAAGCCTCCTGAGCCCTAGGTTTAGAGAGGTGAAAACGAAGCTCCTGGAGCCGGTCTTGTAGAGGTGAAACCGAAGCCTCCTGGAGCCTTCTTGTAGAGGTGAAACCGAAGCCTCCTGGAGCCCTCTTGTAGAGGTGAAACCGAAGCCTCCTGGAGCCCTCTTGTAGAGGTGAAACCGAAGCCTCCTGGAGCCCTCTTGTAGAGGTGAAACCGAAGCCTCCTGGAGCCCTCTTGTAGAGGTGAAACCGAAGCCTCCTGGAGCACTCTTGTAGAGGTGAAACCGAAGCCTCCTGGAGCCCTCTTGTAGAGGTGAAACCGAAGCCTCCTGGAGCCCTCTTGTCGAGGTGAAACGGAAGCCTCCTGGAGCCCTCTTGTAGAGGTGAAACGGAAGCCTCCTGGAGCCCTCTTGTAGAGGTGAAACGGAAGAGTCCTGGAGTCCTGTTGTAGAGGTGAAACGGAGCCTCCTGGAGCCCTCTTGTAGAGGTGAAACGGAAGCCTCCTGGAGCCCTCTTGTAGAGGAGAAACGGAAGCCTCCTGGAGCCCTCTTGTAGAGGTGAAACGGAAGCCTCCTGGAGGCCTGTTGTAGAGGTGAAACGGAAGCCTCCTGGAGCCCTCTTGTAGAGGTGAAACCGAAGCCTCCTGGAGCCCTCTTGTAGAGGTGAAACCGAAGCCTCCTGGAGCCCTCTTGTAGAGGTGAAACCGAAGCCTCCTGGAGCCCTCTTGTAGAGGTGAAACCGAAGCATCCTGGAGCCCTCTTGTAGAGGTGAAACCGAAGCCTCCTGGAGCCCTCTTGTAGAGGTGAAACGGAAGCCTCCTGGAGCCCTCTTGTAGAGGTGAAACGGAAGCCTCCTGGAGCCCTCTTGTAGAGGTGAAACCGAAGCCTCCTGGAGCCCTCTGGTAGAGGTGAAACCGAAGCCTCCTGGAGCCCTCTTGTAGAGGTGAAACGGAAGCCTCCTGGAGCCCTCTTGTAGAAAGGAAAACCGAAGCATCCTCGGAGCCCTTTGTAGAGAGGTGAAACCGACGCCTCCTGGGAGCCCTCTTGGAAGAGGTGAAACCGAAGCCTCCTGGGAGCCCTCTTGTAGAGGTGAAACCGAAGCCTCCTGGAGCCCTCTTGTAGAGGTGAAACCGAAGCCTCCTGGAGCCCTCTTGTAGAGGTGAAACCGAAGCCTCCTGGAGCCCTCCTGAAGAGGTGAAACCGAAGCCTCCTGGAGCCCTCTGGTAGAGGTGAAACCGAAGCCTCCTGGAGCCCTCTTGTAGAGGTGAAACCGAAGCCTCCTGGAGCCCTCTTGTAGAGGTGAAACCGAAGCCTCCTGGAGCCCTCTTGTAGAGGTGAACCCGAAGCCTCCTGGAGCCCTCTTGTAGAGGTGAAACCGAAGCCTCCTGGAGCCCTCTTGTAGAGGTGAAACCGAAGCCTCCTGGAGCCCTATTGTAGAGGTGAAACCGAAGCCTCCTGGAGCCCTCTTGTAGAAGTGAAACCGAAGCCTCCTGGAGCCCTCTTGTAGAGGTGAAACCGAAGCCTCCTGGAGCCCTCTTGTAGAGGTGAAACCGAAGCCTCCTGGAGCCCTCTCTCCTGGAGTAGAGGTGAAACCGAAGCCTCCTGGAGCCCTCTTGTAGAGGTGAAACCGAAGCCTCCTGGAGCCCTCTTGTAGAGGTGAAACCGAAGCCTCCTGGAGCCCTCTTGTAGAGGTGAAACCGAAGCCTCCTGGAGCCCTCTTGTAGAGGTGAAACCGAAGCCTCCTGGAGCCCTCTTGTAGAGGTGAAACCGAAGCCTCAAGGACGCTGTAAGTTTGTAACGCCAATGTCCACCCATGAACTTCGTATCTTTGTATGGTACAGACACTGCAAATTTCAAGGACGCTGTAAGTTTGCAACGCCAACGTCCACCCATGAACTTCGTATCTTTGTATGGTACAGACTCTGCAAATTTCAAGTGCCTGGCAATTGTTTATCGGTAGTTGGGCCGTAGCCATGATTACAAACAAGGACAAACCCTAGCGGCGGTTACCTGCTTGTAAGGAAATGGGTTTATCAAGAAGCTTGTTCAATTCTTCATCGGTATGTTGGGCCGTAGCGGTAATTACAAACAAGGACAAGCAATTTCTATTTATCACTTTCTTGAGGGTTTAGGGTTTAGGGTTTAGGGTTTAGGGTTTAGGGTTTAGGGTTTAGGGTGTGACAGGCGAAGTCGCGCGCTCGGGTGTGAAGCACCCCGGGCCGCGCGCTCGCGTTGCCTGTAAACCCACCCCGGCCACCCAAACTATACTCTATTAGGGTTTAGGGTTTCTACCCCCCAACCCCCTATCAAGGGGGGCTATTATATTTTTGCACCCATGAACGTTCCAGTTGTTGAAGTTGTGGTTTAAGCAACGGCTGGGAGTAGCCTCGGCCCTTTTCGGGCCTTCGGCATGGCAGGGCCGGCTCGGCCCTTCAAGCTTATCGTTTGACAGCTTTGGAAACCGGAAATCCAAGAAATCCCTTTTTTTGCACCCATGAACGTTCCAGTTGTTTAAGTTGTGGCCTAGGCAACGGCTGGGAGTAGCCTCGGCCCTTTTCGGGCCTTCGGCATGGCAGGGCCGGCTCGGCCCTTCAACCTTATCGTTTGACAGCTTTGGCAAATCTAGATTTTAGAGCTGGTTGTCCTTTTCCGAAAAGGACAAGCGCGACTAAATATTGAAAACCGGAAGCTTAAGAGCAGCCACACGAAAAGAAAGGAGGGGACCTCGAGATTCGCAACCGGCCTTGTCTAAAAGGCACATTTTATGAACAGAATTTGTCACTTCAAAATCACCAGCAAAAATCCAAATTTCCGGGAGCTAAATCCTAAATCCTAAACCCTAAATCCTAAATCCTAAAGTCCTAAACCCTAAATCCTAAATCCTAAATCCTAAATCCTAAATCCTAAACCCTAAAATCCTAAATCCTAAATCCTAAACCCTCCTAAATCCTAAATCCTAAATCCTAAACCCTAAATCCTAAATCCTAAATCCTAAACCCTAAATCCTAAACCCTAAATCCTAAATCTAGATTTTAGAGCTGGTTGTCCTTTTCCGAAAAGGACAAGCGCGACTAAATATTGAAATCCGGAAGCTTAAGAGCAGCCACACGAAAAGAAAGGAGGGGACCTCGAGATTCGCAACCGGCCTTGTCTAAAAGGCACATTTTATGAACAGAAATTGTCACTTGAAAATCACCAGCAAAAATCCAAATTTCCGGAGGCTAAATCCTAAATCCTAAACCCTAAATCCTAAATCCTAAATCCTAAACCCTAAATCCTAAATCCTAAATCCTAAATCCTAACCCAAAACACCCCGACCAGAGCAAATGGATCACGGTTTGGGGTTATAACTTAAGCTACGCTAGAGGCGGTCCCGATACGGCGGTCCCTCATTTCGAAGACTTCCCGTTGGGGTTTGCCATGGGCTTTACACCGTTGACCTGTGCAGGTCAGACCGGGGAGGCTTTACCCTCCCCTCTCCGCGTCCCGCTCTTTTCGTAGGGGCGCTCGGGCTGTTAGGCCCTCGGCCAGAGCGCTCGGGGCCTGTCGTTCGACGGTTTCGGCCCCTCGCTTAGTTTATAGAAATTGTTAAGGGTTTGGGTCCCAATAACTTCTTGGGGCACCGGCCAACCCTCCACCTCTTGCACAAGAACGGAAGGTTGTCCGACCTCGAAAAACTTCCCGGGAAGTTTTTCGAGGTCGGGCAACCTTCCGCTCTTGTGCAAGAGGTGGAGGGTTGGCCGGTGCCCAAAAGAGTTTCTTTTTGGGAACCATGTTTTCAAATTTGTTGGGGGGCTGGGCTCTTGGGCGCCAAAAACGTTTTGAGCGAAACGTTTTGAGCGAAACGTTTTGAACGAAACGTTTTGAACGAAACTTTTGAACGAAACGTTTTGACCGAAAGTTCTTTGCCACATTTTCAATTTGCTGGTCTGGGCTGAGCTCTGGGCTGGGCTGGGCTGGCTGGGCTGGTCTGGGAAGGGCTGAAGGCTCGCGTTGGCGGCTGGGCTGTGGGCTGGGCTGCGTTGGGCTGGGTTGGACCAGGCGGGGCTGGGTGGGCTGGGTGGGCTGGGCGGGGCTGGGCTGGGGGCTGGGCTGTTGGGCGCTTGGCTAGGCCAGCTATTGCAAGATCCGAATGTTGTTTTTGGCGATATGAACGGCCTCCACAATGCAGGCTGCTTCGATTGCAACGAATGGCTACTAACTACTAACTACTACGTGCAAGGGGCCCCCAGGCGCGACTAGTAAGGATCAAGGACTTGGCAAGGTGTGCCAACAAGTGTATTTAGGAGCACCAGCAAGAAAAAGCACAAAAGTGGCTCGGATACTACTGTGGACGGTTGTGTCGACATGTTGTGGCAGCGTCATGACTGTTATATGTGTGCCCCCTCAGCTTCGAGCCTGCTTGGCATCTCCTTTCGCTGCTGATGGATGTGCGGTGGCTCCTGACGTGGACCACCGGCTCGAAAGCATCGGTTGCCAATCGAATTACCCAACCCTCATCAAAGCCGCGTCAGCAAGGCAAGACTGTTTACATGAGCCAGTGCTGAGCGAGTGCATAGAATTCAAACTAGAACGAGCACACAGCTGTCTGCACGATGAGCCAAGCTCGTTTTGGTGACACTTCAGGCTTCAGGCTCCAAGCCGGAGCACCGCGTAGGTTTCGCAAGGTTGCAAGTCTGGGTGCCAATTCATGACCAGCTCAGGCTTGCCTTGGAAGCAATCTAACACATATATTCGGCCATCACAGGATGTCAGAGCAGCCCAATGCTCATTACCAGAATTCTGGTCGCCACGGATTTGCAGCAGGCTCTGTGCTCCAGCTGGCCAAATGCTTGGGTCAGAACAATACTGCAATTTGAAACCAATCTGTTCCAGGGCACAGCCAACGGCGAAAGGAGACAGTATCTTGCCATCCCGCTTCACACACATGCGCCAATCATGTTCAGAACCGCGTGCCTTCAATAGGCGTTGGGCCGTCTGCAAAGTAATGTCGCACGTGGGTCTGCCCAGTGCGTTGTTGATGGAGCACGTCGCACTCGCCAACTGTTTCTGTGCGAAATCCAGACTTTCATGCGGACTCTGGAAGTAAAGGATGTGACCGGTTTCAGCCAAGAATCTCCATTGCGGATGATTCTGGCATGACATCCTGTCAGATAGAGGCACTCGAAAGCCAGCTTGCAGTATATCCTCTTCGATTGCCCACTTCGCGGCTCTGCAGCTCAAAAGAGGCCCTTCAGCCATAGCCATCAGCTCAGAATATCTTCGTCTCAGTTCCCTCCGAGCTCGCCACCATCTTTGGCGGTATCCTCTCAGCGACGCCTTCTTCCCCTTCCAAACTGTACCACCTGCGACTTTCTTTAACGCAGTGGCAAGACGATGTGCCATCTTGCGATTGTGCACATAGTAATAGTGAAGAATCCAGCTTTGGCCACCACTGCGCTGGCTTGATGCAGACTGCACATATTTTCGGCTGCGGGTGCTCAGGCTCGTCCGCGGGATTGCTCGGCCGAGCAAGAACTGCCTCAGGCGCCGTTGCTTCTTATGCAACCAACTGCTGGATGGCTTGAAGTTGGGACGCTCTCCGGCCTTTGCCCGCAAGCCACATTGCTCGCTGGCAGATAGCACACACAATGATCCCAACCCAAATGCCGCTTCATATGTCGGCGACCCGACTTGCCGCCAGTGCTTCAGCTGTCTGATCAAATTGCCTCTGGCCACACGAGAACCAAGAGCGAGTTCTAGGCTTTCCAGACTGCACAGTACGCAGCTCTTGTTGCTGGTTTGCGCAGGTCCACCTCTACCATCTTGCGAGAAAATGCATGGTCGGGCTCCGTCTCCTGATGGATCCTCGAAGCCATGGCAATAGCGAGGCATGGCGACGAATCTACTGGGATTGCATGTTGTTCAGACACTTCGCCTTCGCAAACAAAGTAAGCCAGACGGCAAAGGACAGTGTGTCGAAGAATGGGGGCCTAGGACCTAGACCCTTGAGCTGCTGGCGCTGTAACAGTGGAACACCACTACAGGCTTCTAGCTTTCCAGGTAGTTGCGCTTCATAAAATACATCGGGATAAGGATTGCCGGCTTCTCGCTAGCTTGACAAGATCTTTTCAATTTTACGGCAGCTGAACCCAAACCCTGGATTTGGGGCTGGGCCTGGATTCGCGGTCTGGGGCCTGGATTTGGGGCTGGGCCTGGAAGAAATTGTTCAGGGTTTGGGTGCCAAAAACGTTTTCAACGAAACGAACCCAACGAATTAGGGTCTGGGGCCTGGAGATTTGGGGCTGGGCCTGGGTTTGGGTCTGGGGCCTGGATTTGGGGCTGGGCCTGGATGGCCGGGGCTTTGGGGCGTGGATTTAGGCCGTGGGGTGGATTCTAGGCTCTGCCCTAGGCTCTGCCTAGGCCAGCCCCTAGGCTCTGCCTAGGCCAGCCCCGAGCAAATCGGGTGTGCATTCCAAAAAAAGTTTATCCTGAGCGTTTGGTGGTGCCCACCTCTGGGCTCTAGGCCAGCTTTTGGGTGTGCACCAACAAAAAAGGTTTATCCTAAGCGTTTGGTGGTGCCCGCCCTAGGCCAGCCCCCAGGCTCTGCCTAGGCCAGCTTTTGGGTGCGCACCAACAAAAAAGGTTTATCCTAAGCGTTTGGTGGTGCCCGCCCTCCAGGCTCTGCCTAGGCCAGCCCCGTAGGCTCTGCCTGGGATGCCAGCCCCTGGGCTCTCCTGAGCGTTTGGTGGTGCCCGCCCTCTGGGCTCTGCGTAGGCCAGCCCCGTAGGCTCTGCCCAGGCCAGCCCCTGGGCTCTGCTTAGGCCAGGCTCTGCCTAGGCCAGCTTTTGTGTGCATTTCTTCTGTGTTTAGGCTCTGCCTAGGCCTGCCCCTAGGCTCTGCCTAGGCCAGCCCCTAGGCTCTGCCTATGCCAGCCCCTAGGCTCTGCCAAGGCCAGGCTTTAGGCCAGACCCAGGAAATCGAAAAAGGTTTATCCTAAGCGTTTGGTGGTGTCTGGGCTGCCTAGGCCAGCCCCGTAGGCTCTGCCCAGGCCAGCCCCTAGGCTCTGCCTAGGCCAGCCCCCAGGCTCTGCCTAGTGGGTGTGCAAGTTTGGTGGTGCCCGCCCTCTAGGCTCTGCCTAGGCCAGCCCCAAGGCTCTGCCTAAGCTTTGCCTAGGCCAGCCCCTAGGCTCTGCCCCAGGCTCCATTTCAGGGTTCCGCCACCGCTTTCCGCAGCTTATGGAGCCGGGGCACCTTCCCAGCGAGGGGGGCCGGGGCACCTTCCCACAGCCAAACCCCCGGGCCAGACTGGGAAGGCCTGAATTGGCGCTGGGTCGGGGGCTGGCTTGGATTTGGGGCTAGGCTTTTGGGGTCTGGGGCTGGATTTGGGGTCTGGGGCCTGGGGTGGGCTAGATTTGCCTCTGGGCTGAGCTTTTGGTTGCGCACCATCCTAAGCGTTTGGTGGTGCCCGCCCTCTACGCTCTGCCTAGGCCAGCCCCGTAGGCTCTGCCTGGGTGCCCGCCCTCTGGGCTCTGCCCGTAGGCTCTGCCCAGGCCAGCCTCTAGGCTCTGCTAGGCCAGGCTCTGCCTGGGCTTTGTGTAAATAGGCTCTGCCTAGGCCTGCCCCTAGGCTCTGCCTAGGCCAGCCCCTAGGCTCTGCCTATGCCAGCCCCTAGGCTCTGCCAAGGCCAGCCCCTAGGCCAGACCCAGGAAATCGGGTGTGCACCAACAAAAAAGGTTTATCCTAAGCGTTTGGTGGTGTCTGGGCTCTGCCTAGGCCAGCCCCGTAGGCTCTGCCCAGGCCAGCCCCTAGGCTCTGCCTAGGCCAGCCCCCAGGCTCTGCCTAGTGGGTGTGCACCAACAGAAAAGGTTTGTCCTAAGCGTTTGGTGGTGCCTGCCCTCGAGGCTCTGCCTAGGCCAGCCCCAAGGCTCTGCCTGGGCCAGCCCCTAAGCTTTGCCTAGGCCAGCCCCTAGGCTCTGCCCCAGGCTCCATTTCAGGGTTCCGCCACCGCTTTCCGCAGCTTGTGGAGCCGGGCACCTTCCCAGCGAGGGGGGCCGGGGCACCTTCCCACAGCCAGGGCCCCGGGCCAGACTGGGAAGGCCTGAATTGGCGCTGGGTCGGGGGCTGGCTTGGATTTGGGGCTAGGCTTTTGGGGTCTGGGGCTGGATTTGGGGTCTGGGGCCTGGGGTGGGCTAGATTTGCCTCTGGGCTGGGCCTGGATTTGGGGTCTTGGGGGCTGGGCCTGGATTTGGGGTCTGGGGCCTGGATTTGGGGCTGGGTTTCAACGAAACGTTTTTCTTTTTGAACCCACACCTTGAGTTTGGGGGTGCGAACTCTGCTCTCACAACCTAACAAGCCACCCTCCACCCTCCCTCCGCCCCCACTCCCCTCCCCCTCCCCCCCACGCCCCCGCACGAGGAGCCTTGGGCTGGGCCAGAGAAACCATGAGCAGTGCGCTAAGAGCCACTGCCGGGTGTGCAGCCTGCCGGGGCCCGACCTCTGGGCCTGGATTTGGGGCTGGATTTGGCTGGGCCTGGATTCTGGATTTGGGGTTTGGGAGGGACCTGGATCTGGGTCTGGGAAGGTGTGATTTGGGGGCTGGGCCTGGATTTGGGCTGGGATTTGGGTTTGGGGTTTGGGGCCTAGATTGGGGCTGGTTTTGGGCCTTTTTTGGTGCTTGGACTTGGCGTCTGGGTCTTGGGGCCTGGATTTGGGGTCTGGGTTGGAGGTTATGGAGAAATTGGTTTATCAAGAAGCTTGTTCAATTTTAAGCGGCGTGTTGGGCCGTAATGGTGGTTACAAGTTTGTGGAGAAATTGGTTTATCAAGAAGCTTACTCAATTTTTAATCGGTGTGTTGGGCCGGCTGGGATGGGCTGGGCTGGACCGTTTTGGCTTGGCTGGCTGGGCTGAGTTAGAAGTTGAGGTCGTGGTTGTGCGAAATTGGTTTATCAAGAAGCTTGTTCCGTTTTTGATCGGGTGGCTGGTTTGAGTTGGCTGGGCTGAGTTAATGGTTGAGGTTGTGGAAGCTGTTTTGAGTTGGCTGGGCTGAGTTAGAAGTTGAGGTCGTGGTTGTGCGAAATTGGATTATCAAGAAGCTAACGCCAATTCTAATCGAAATGCTGGGCCTTAGCGGTGCTTACAAACAAGGACAAGCAATTTCTATTTATCACTTTCTTGAGGGTTTAGGGTTTAGGGTTTAGGGTTTAGGGTTTAGGGTTTAGGGTTTAGGGTTTAGGGTTCGACAGCGTAGCGGTCGCCCTGGCCAACTTGAGGGTGCACTTCTTTCATAGGGGGCTGCTTCTTGGACCGTAAAACCCATCGCCTAGGGTTTTCCTATGGCCCAAACCCGCGGCCCAACCAAACCCGTGGCCGCAGTCCCTGCCCGAAACTCTCCCGCACCCCTCCGCGCGCCCCACGCTGCACCCGCCGCGCGTGCACCCCTTGCGCCTGCCCGACCCGCGCCCCCACCGTGCCCGCGCCCCGCGCCCGCGCCCGCGCCCCGTTCCCGCGCCCGCGCTCGCGTCCGCGCCCGCACGCTCGCCCGGGCTGGAACTCATTTTAAAATCCATGTCCGCAGCCTGCCGCGCTGCCCGCCCATGCAGCCCCTGCGCCCGGCCGCCCGCACCACGCCCCTGCGCCCTGCCCCCCCACACCCCGTCCTCGCTTCTGCCAACCCCCCCCCCGCGCCCCGCGCCCCACGCCCGCACCCGCGCCGGTCCCGCCACGCACGCGGTGTGGCCGCACATGTGCCCCCCACACCCCCCGCTCCAGCGCGCTCCCTGCACCCCCCCCGCGCCCCGCGCCCCGCGCCCCCACGGCCTCCCGCCGCACCCGCCCTAAACCCTAAACCCTAGCACCCTAAACCCTAAACCGTCGACTAAGGCGCCGAACCTTAACCCAAGGCCCCAAACCCTCAACCCTGGGGCCGGAAACCCTAAACCCAGCACCCTAACCTAAACCCTCCGCCCCGAAACCCTAAACCCAAGGCCCCAAACCGCAATCCTAGGGCCTTAAACCCATAAACCCTCGGCCCCGAAACCCTAAACCCCTAAACCCTAAACCCTCGGCCCCGAAACCCTAACTAAGGCCCCAGACCTTCAACCCTGGAGCCCTAAACCCTAAACCCTAGTACCCTAAACCCTAAACCCTCGTAAACCCTAAACCCTCGGCCCCGAAACCCTACCCACCCGCCCCGCCCCGCCCCGCCCCGCCCGCCCCGCCCCGGCCCCGTGCCCGCGCCCACGCCCGCGCACACGCCCATGCCCGCTCGCGCACGTGCCCGCATTCGCTCCCGCACCTGCGCCCGCGCCCACGCCCACGCCCGCGCCCGTGCCCCTGCCCGCGCCCGCGCCCGCGCCGCGCCCGCACCCGCGCCCAAGCCCGCCGCGCCCACACTGCGCCGCTCACCCACCCGCGCCCCGCAACGCGCCACGCCCGCACCCGCACCCGCGCTCGTTCGCGCCCTGAAACCCTCTGCGCCCAGACTTTGTATAAGCCCTGAAGCCTCTCGCCCGAAGCCCTCTGCGCCCTGGAACCCTCTGCCCTGCATGGAACCCTCTTTCATGTCCGGGACTGCCGCGCGGGGCCTGGTCATTCGACTGCTTGTCCAAGCTTTTTGCCACATCCGTCGGCGATGCTATGGCACGACAGGGCCGGTCCTGTTGGTGGTGTTTCCTGTGTCTGGTGCAAGCCGCTTTCTGTCGGGGGCTTGCCACTTCGATTTATCTGAGTCCGGCTGGGAGGCCCATGGCCAATTGAAGGCATTTTGCATCCACGTCCTGGTCCTATTCTATGCGACCACAAGGGCACAGGTTTCGGGCTTTTGATAGAATGTTGTTGCATGCCCACTCTCTCGTCTTCGGTCTGGACGAGTACGATGTTTTGGCTAAAAGCAA